TTGGTAAATTAATTAATTTTTTTAAGGCCAACATCAACAGCAGGTAGTATATTCTTTTCCCGGCTCGTTAATATTAAGGAACTTTTTTGTTTGGGTAGGTTTTGCCTTTTTTTATTTTTTCGCAATCAAGAAATATATAAGGATAAATGCCCCTTGAAAGTTCATAATATCTGTAAGGCTCGCCGGTTCCAGTTTTGATTACAATATAAGAAACCGTGAGCTATTTTTAAAAGTAAAATGAGAAACCGTACGCTAGAATTTGAGTGTATCAACGATCCGGATATGTTCTGTTACATATGCGGTGAATATACTCTTGTATGGCATCGGAGGCAGTTTAGAGATTCGATCCAATCTATATATTCAAAATATTTTGATATTGAGCCTAAAAATATTGATAAACCATGTACTCCGAATATTTTGTGTTCCTTGTGTCGAATAATATTGGTTCAATGGGAATCAGGATCAACAAGGTACGYATTAAAATTATGAAACTATGCTTCTTTTTATTTAATAGTAATTTTTAATTTTTTTCTTTTTCAGGCGATACATGAAATTTAATGTACCAATGATATGGCGAGAACCTACATGCCACTCAGAAGATTGTTATATTTGTATGACAAAAGCACTTGGCTTCGGAAAATCAAGAAAAGTGATTTATGTTAACGTACCTACCGTTTCATTGCCAGTTCCATATTCAGCTGAAGTTGCGTATCCAGTTTCGTTGTCAATAGCAGTATCTGAAAGATCATCTGAATATGGAAAATCGAGTTGTAATGAAACGAGAGAAACGTTCTATCACAAACGCAACTAAACGATTGCATTAGAGATTTGGAATTATCCAAGGAAAAAGCTGAGCTACATGCTACATGCTATTGCAAAAACATTCCAGGATTATTCAAAGAGTTTGGTCAACCATATGATTCCGAGGAGTGGCGATTGTTCATAGACAGCAATAAACTGAGCTTGAAGGCCGTATTACTGCATAATGGCAACAAAAAGCCCTCGATCCCGATCGCGCATGCAGTAAACACGAAGGAAATATACGAGGTAATGAGAAATTGTTAAAATTCATCAAATATGAAGAGCATGATTATAAAATATGTGCCGATTTTAAAGTCGTTGGAATGTTATGAGGTCTATAAAAAGGCTACACAAAACAGTGCTGCTTTCTCTGCAAATGGGATAGCCGAGCTCGTAAAGACCACTATTGCATTGAGGATTGGCCGGAAAGAGTTGAATTTACAATTGGTGTGGATAATATCAAATACGTCCCACTTGTACAGATGGAAAAAATCATTCTTCCGCCATTGCACATCAAGCTCGCCCTCAATAAAAATTTTGTTAAGGCGTTGGAAAAAGAAGGCAAAGCATTCAATTATTTGCAAAATTTTTTCCCAAAAATTTCCCAGGCCAAGATAAAAGAAGCTATATTTGTTGGACCCCAAATAAAAAAGTTGATAAATAATGATGATTCAAAAGACTATTGTCACCAGTTGAGGCGTGGGATTCCTTAGAAATGGTCGTTTCTTCTTTTCTCGGTAAACACAAAAGTCCAAACTACGAGAAGATAGTGAGCGACTTATCAAAAATTATGCAGAAATGGGTGATTATTCAAAACTTATTTAATTGAATTATATAAAATTTTATAATTTACTTATTTACATTTTCTTTTTCTCCAGGCGTAAATATGTCTTTAAAAATTCATTTTTTTCCGGCAAATCTCGGAGACGAAAGTGACGAGCATGGCGAAAGGTTTCAGCAGCAAATGAAAATTTACTTTTTACTCAACAGAAACAGCGCATAGCTAGATATCCCACCCCTACTTTACACACTACATAAGCATATACGTATACATTGACTTTGCGCGACTTGGATATATTTATTTGATCATGTACAACTTTCCTATTTATCCATGGATTTTTTTCGTTGGTAGCTTAGTTTTTTATAAAGAAACAGGACTTCATATCAAAGAAAAAAATGTTTAAATATCTTTTGTTTTAAAATTTTTTCCTTGCTAAAGTTTATTTATTTTTAATTTTTTCATAAGAAAATTTAAAAACACGAAGTGATTAATAAATTTCTCAGAAATTATAAGGCCTATGGAAAAATGGAGTAGACAATATTTTTAGGAAATTTCATTCACTTTTATTTTCTATAATTTGCAATAAGATTGCTCAACTGGTCAGTGAGATATACATGATTATATATAATATCCATAAAAAAAAATTTATTCGATTTTCGAAATCAGCGGGCCATTCCACATACAAATTGGATAGTGGCGTTCATGGAACATTTTTGCTGTAAACCAGTGTKATCAAGAAATAGGTCGCCATATCCCTGAAAGACGGGTAGATGTTAGCAAATACGTAGGCGAATTGTTATTGTTCACTTTTGATACGTTAAAATATTCGTTATTACTTAGATTAGCAGTTTGGTACCTTAAAAATATAAACATGTTAGCAGTAACAAGCATATCTGTTACCTCGGTATGTTACCCATTTGCTACTTTTAGAAAATTTAATTATTTTAAATAAAATTCAGTATTTTTATATTATTTTGGTTGATTTAATAATAAAATCATATTTACTTAAACTAATAATTTGCCTATTATTATTACATTCGGCAGAAAATGTGAATTTGTTATTAAAATCAAATATAATACAAGATTAAGTTTATTTCAGTATATAAATTATAATTCTGGAAACTCACATTTGTGAATGTTAAACTACAACTTTAAACTAATAGATATAACTTTAAACTAAAATGCACAACTTACAACTAATATACACAACTTAGAACTAATATGTACAATTTGTAACGAGTACATGTATGTATTTAATAATAAGCAAATTTATACGAATTTACGCTTAAGTTTTTTTTTTTTGTTTAAAATTATTGTGGTTTAAACCCCCAACTCTCTGGAGCTTCCCCAGATCGTGGTTTTGTCCTTGTCAGGAAATATATTTGAAGGGAAACGTTATAAGTAAAGACATTCAAATATATATTAGCAAAAAAACCTACCAAAAACTAACCCTATGCACTTTAGCTTTAGTAGGGATTCCTTCTCTTTGCGTCCCTCTAAATTGTATTGGTACATTACAACATCCGAAAACAAATCACGCAGTACGCCGTCAACACTACTTTTGCCTTCAATTTTTTCAAATTTAGCCGTATTTGTTATAAAGAAATAAATGACAGTAAATTATATTATAACCGAATTATATTTAAAAGCGAAATACATTCGATATTCTTGCTTTCCTTTTGTGAAAGTTTGCCTTCCACGAAGCGCACRAAGTTTGGGCAGTTTCCAAGCGAACTCCACATAATGCTCGTCGGCTAAGACACCGGTGATGCGCCCAATTGCTTTTTGCTTGAAACTCGGCCTTAATACGACATGAGTAATATAATTTATTTTGAACTTTTGAAGTATATTAGACATATTTTTCAATGAAAAAATATTAGTAAATAAGCCTGTGACGATGAATCTCCAGAAGGGCCTTGAAAAAAGTGGTTTAGCGGTGAACTCATTACCGGATCATCTGAAACAAAAAAATTGATATGCGTTTTAAAGGTGATGCATTTCTCTAGGTAATCAAAAAGAACTTTTGTTTTCTATATTTTGCAGCACTTGGAAGTAAAAAGCGCGATTTTAACTCAAAAAATCGCGATATATTTGTTAATAAAAAATATTTTAAAAAAATTTTAAAAACTCCATCGAATTACATGTTGATTTCTGCGAAGAAGTAATGTTCAAATTTTCAAAATGATCGGTTTAGTAGATTTTGAGTTTTAATGTTCACGAACTTCAAAAATAACGTTTTCGGGAAAATCGGCTTTAAGTTTTTTATACTGGCCGATGAATACGGCCCGTCGTTTGAAACGCTGTAAATCCGTTAGTTTGACTTTAATTGACTCAAAACTTGTACACAATATTCTCGATTTAAAAAAATGCAAAAAAAAAAAAATGTAAACCTTACCCCTTAAATGTACTTKTTTTAAAGCAAATACCAATATATTTATACATTAATACATTATACCTGCGTGGTCGTCAGATGATGGTGACGGTAACACACTTTTTGGAGATTTTTTCTTTTTTTTTCAAGGAGCGCAAACGAGATTAAAACTTATTTTTTTTAACTCTTTATCTGCAAAAAGGAAATATTATTAGAAAATTTAAAATATTTATGTTCAATATAACCTATATGGGGGATCAACGGTTGAGAATTCCACTTTTGTGAAAGATCTTTAAAAAGTTGATGAATGAGTGGAACTAAAAGAAAGTTTCATCCATAGTGAAAGCTTTTTAACTTTTTATTTTTCATTTTTCTTAGGATGGTCTTTTATTTAAGTATATATATATAGAAGTAATGATTATGGTAACACAGTTTATTTAAAAGAAATAGATTACATCGCACGGGAGGCTGCGTTCACTTTGGCGGTTGGAAATCAGGTGTTGCTTTTGATGTACCGGTGATGCCACGCAGAAAGAATTAGTATTTCGCATAGGGTTACCTTACAGTCGGCTATCCTGGCAATGTATAGCGCCTTCGCTATGCTCGTCGCTTTTATCATCGGCTTCAAAATTGGGAGGAAGTTGACACCATGACTTCATCTTATCGGATGCGTAAATCAAAGTGTAGTGACGTGACGTTCGGTCTGCTCCTGGCAAGTCTTCAAGTAAATAACGATCTTTACCAAGCACTTACTTAATTATAAAGGGGCCTTTGTAACATGGCTCCAGCTTTCTCTACGTCCCAGTACTGGAAGGTTCATTTTCGACTAGCACTAAGTCATTAACATGGAATTCTGTTGGTTTTGAATGATGATCATCATATCGCTTCTTAGCTTGTTGTCGTTTCTGGTTTACAGCTTCACAAGTAGCTTCTCGTAGTTTTTGTAAATCTTCTTCGCTTGTTAGATTATTGTCGTGTTGTGCTAACAAAACTTTATTTTGAAGGATATCTCTTGGCGAAAAACTAAATAAAAGTTCATGTGGACTTTTACTCGTAGTTTGTACCTCTATCAGTGGCGATTCTTTCAGGAACTCCAAAATAACTGGTAACTTCTCGTAACGTTTCTAATACGTGCCTCGTTGCTGAACACTTTACTGCTTTTATGATCGTATACTTCGTAAAAGCGTCAACAATGACTAATATGTGTTCGTTTCTTTTTGTACTCTTGATAAATGATCCTAAATGATCCATATGAACGGTTTTAAATGGTATTGGTATGATGTTATCGAAATGATGCTGTCCTTCAATTTTACCACCTTGACGTTTGTTATATGCGCATTCAGCACATGCTTTTAAATATGATTTAACGAAATTACGCATTCGTGGAAACCATATGTACGTTTTCATCTTGTTAACGGTTTCTTCGAAGCCCAAGTGACCATTTTTATCGTGACATTCTTCCAACATTTTATGTCTTAACGCTTTTGGAACAACCCTTAATTTCTTTTCTTTTTCGATTCTAAATAATCTATCTTTCTCAATACAAAATTCTTTTAAAATTTGTTTATCTTTGTTTTTAATCTTTTCGACGATCTGTTTTATATTGTTGTCCTGTAACTGCATACTAAGCAACCAATCGTCTGACGTAATCGATACTTTATCTACTCGTAGAGTTACATCTGTTTCTTTAGCACTTTCGTTTGGACAGCGACTTAATGCATCGACATGTTCCTTGCGTCTACCCTGACGATGTACAATAGCTTCTTTTAAAATTTCTAAAACTGTCGTAAGTTTTCGAAACATTTCTTCGTAGGTATTACTGCAGATAAGTATGTCATCCATATAATGAATCATATTATCTTTCGTTACCTTTTCTTGAATTTTAGACATTAAACGTTGAAATACTAGTGGAGCGTTCTTCAGTCCAAATGGCATTCTTTTAAATTCGTATAAACCGCCGGTAGTAACAAAAGATGTATACTTACGGCTTTCTGGTTCGATTTCAATTTGATAGTACCCACTATTCAAATCAAGCGTTGTGAAATATTTATAACGCGCTGCTTTCTGAAGACACTCTTCAATACTTGGAAGTGGAAATAATTCTCTGATGATTAGTTTGTTTAAACGTCGATAATCAATGCATAATCTATCGTTACCGTTTTTCTTTTTTACAATCACAACTGGACTTGCATATTCTGAACGTTGTATTATATCGTTTTTTAATAAATCGTTTATCATTTCGGAGCAATTTGTTTTTTAGATTCTGGTACACGGTATGGAGATTGAGACACAATTTCATTTGAATTTAATTCAATTTTCATTTTCACCAAATTAGTTTTTCCGAATACATTTAAGTTATTTGCAAAAATATTTCTATTGTCGTTTATAATTTTCATTAACGTTGTTTTGTTCTAATAAAATGTCACTAGGTAATAATTGATCGTCTACCAAATACAAGGTAACTGGTATAGTAATGCCATCGATTGTTGAAATTGTTTTCACTGATTCTTTCGCCCGTCGCCTACCACCACATAGTCCTCTGATTTGTATATCACACTTTATGTATTTAGAATTAAGTTTCTCACATAACGATTTCCGAATCATGCTACACTGAGCACCCGTATCAATAAATGCTTTTAATTTCTRACCGTTTAATAATGCGTCAACTTTAAAAAGTTCATCGTTTACACAAAATGTATTTCATATTTTAGCTTCGGGTTTACACTGAGAATCATACCTTGAATGCACTTTATTACATTTTTCACATCTTTGTTTACGTTGAGGTTTTTGACAATTTTTCGATATGTATCCAAATTCATCGCAATTATAGCACTTTACACTTTTTGCTTCAAGCTTCTTATTAGAATTTTCGTTTTTGTTTACATTCTTATTTTCATATTCTTTTATTTCTACTTTCGTTATACTTCTATGTGAATTCATGTTCTTTTATATTCGTTTAAGGTTTCTCTTAGTTCCCTCATTGTATTTATTCGTTGGGCCGCTATTGCCACTTGTAGTTCACGATTTCGTAGTCCTTCTCTCGCGTATTTAACTATCGCTGTTTCACTCAATTTAAACCGTCGCCCAAGCGAACGAACACGAAAACAATAGTCGTCTACTCTTTAATTTTGTCTACGTACAGCACTTTGCATTTCGAAATGTATTTCTGCTTCATCGGGATAATTACCAAATTCGTTTTTTAAGTCTTTCGCGAGCTCGTTCCAATTGGRATGTAGTCTTTCTGTCGCATCGAGCCACAATCTTGCTGCTCCTTTCATTTTACTTATTATTGTTTCTATTTTCAATGTTGCTTGTATTTTCAATTGGCACACTTTGATTTTGGGAATCATTTTGCATATATGACAACACATTTTCTAAAATCCCGCGCATTTCATCCATTTGTCTTTGTAACGATTTTTGTGTTCCGTCATCAAACTGTTCACTATCATCACCTGAAATTTGTTCGTTTTCGTCCTCTTCGACTTCAATTTCATCCGACCCGATCGTTTCACTCAAACGACTAATGAGTGTTGCCTTCATACCCGACGCTGAGCAATTCCGCTCTGACAACTGCCGTTTTAGTTGCACTAAACTCAATGATGCAATAGCTCTCATTTTTACAAATTATGTACTTCGCTATGTATTATGTACCTCGTTTTTGCATATACACACGCGTCGTTAAATCGAATGATCGAGATGATGCTCACTTTTTTAACACGTTTAAATTGTAGGTTAAGTTATATCTTAAAAAAATTGTTTTTTTGTTTATATAATACACTTTAGGTTTATGAAATCTGCAGGTTTCACACGTATGTATGTACGTATGTAAATGCGTTTCACTAAGAACCGTGTGTTCTTTACGTTGTACGAGTATGGCAGAAATAATGTGGTTAGAAAATGTACAGATTAGTGTTTAGCACATTTTCCGTTTATTAATTTCCACACATATGTACTATACATATTTAATCACTAAATCATCGCGAAACCGTTTTCAAAATTGTGTACAGGTAAACGTATTAGTACACATTTTGACGTTTTGTACGCGTGAAGTAATCCTACTTCTATTTGAAAGCTTTTTAACTTATTATTTTTAATTTTTCTTAGGATGGTCTTTTATTTAAGTATATATGTATGTATGCATAGGGTTGTGCGCTGGGTTTGGGACCCGCCACTTAAAAAAACCAACCCAATGACAACGCAACCACAGCCTCGGATAAGAGACCCCACTTTTGATGACGACCATGGCAAACGAAATAAGGACTACGAATTGAGGGCATGCACATGGAATGTCCGGTCCCTTAATTGAGAAGGTGCCGCTGCCCAGCTGGTTGATGTCCTCGTAAAAATAAAGGCTGACATCACCGCCGTTAAAGAAATGCGATGGACGAGACAAGGACAGAGACGAGTAGGTCCTTGTGGCATTTACTACAGTGGCCATATAAAGGAGCGCAAGTTTGATGTGGGATTCGTGGTGGGAGAGACACTCCGTCGCCGAGTACTATCATTCACCCCGGTGAACGAACGTCTAGCCACAATCCGCACCAAAGCAAGGTTCTTCAACATATCACTGATTTGTGCCCACGCCCCGACGGATGAGAAGGACGATGTGACCAAAGATGCCTTTTATGAGTGAAACATCCCCAAATGGGTTGAGACTGATGGTAGACTTCGCCGAGGCCCGAAATATGGTTATCTGTAGTACTAGATTCCAGCATAAGAAGATTCATCAAGTTACCTGGCTGTCTCCGGATCGAAAAATCACCAACCAGATCGATCATGTTGTGATAGACGGAAGACAAATCTCCAGTGTTTTAGATGTGCGTGCGCAAAAAACGCACGAAAACAAACACAAGGAAGGTTCGACGTCGAGAAGCTGCAATCACAACAGACAGCCGAATGATTTTCCACTCGGCTTGCACTCCTGCTCTCTGAGAGCACTCGTCTACAACTCGGTATAAGGGAACTGTGKGACGGCATTTCAAACTCCTTACGTACAGCTGTAACCGAAACCATTGGTTTTCAGAAAGTGCAAAAGAWCAGCTGGTACGACGAGGAATGCCGTGTCGCAGCGGAGAGAAAACAGGCTGCCTACCTCGYAACGTTACGATCGACCACAACACGTGCGGGATGGGATAGATACCGAGAGTTGATGAGGAAAGCGAGACRCATTTGCAGACAGAAAAAGAAAGAGGCCGAAATGCGTGAGTACGAAGAGCTGATAAGCTTCCCGACAGGGGTAATGCTCGAAAATTCTACGAAACAATGCGGCGGCTTACAGAAGGTTTCAAGACCGGAGCATACTCTTGTAGAATCCGCAAAGGTGATCTAGTCACCGATGCCCAGAGCAWACTTAAATTATGGAGGGAACACCTCTCCAGCCTGCTGAATGGCAGTGATCGCACAACGTCATGAGAAGGCGAACCCGATGCCCCAATCGACGACGATGGAGCAGACGTTCCATTGCCCGACCAGGAAGAAGTTCGAATAGCAATTAACCGCCTGAAGAACAACAAAGCGACGGGGGCCGATGGATTGCCGGCCGAGCTATTCAAACACGGCGGCGAAGAATTGATAAGGAGCATTCATTAGCTTCTTTGTAAAATATGGTCGGACGAAAGCATGCCCAACGACTGGAACTTAAGTGTGCTATGCCCAATCCTCAAAAACGGAGAGC